ATGACAATTGTTCAATCGCGCATCCCCGCTCAGCGAGTGCGGCCACCAGACGGCAATGTTGCACGTCGAAAAATTGTGTTTTTGGAGCGTTGCCGAGGCTGGCCGCAGCGTGCTGAAGACACGTTTTCTACTTGTTCGTCGTCATTCGCCAGAAACGTTTTTTTAAAACCCTGCGTAAGCCGGATACTTGCTAATGAGAACATGTGTGAGTTTTTACGGAAGCGCAGTGCCGAGAGAAAAAAGCAGAACTCGTCAAAAGCAAGTTTCGACGGTCTTGCGGCATGATCAAAGCTTCCTTGGCATGCCGAAGCGCTGAGTCTCTGTGCCTTCGCACGCTAGATTTGTGAACATATGAAGAAAAACTATTTTCCTTGTACCGAACGACACTCCAAGTACAACTCTTAGCTACCGTAGAATACCATGCATCCGCCCATTCCACATGAAGTGCCGATATCCAAATTTCTAAGATCTGAGAAATCATGCACAGTACATTTATATGTAAATTTGATGACCAGGCAAGCGCCCATTCCCCCATTTTTTTCGCGATTATCTCTAAATTATGAGTGGGCGCTTGCCTGGTATTTTACGGTAATGCAGTAGCCTACAATTGAAATAAAGTAGTGTTGTATCCTGCATGCCAAAAGATGCACAAAGGCTTGCCTAGTGTGATGCAGATGGACGCTGCGGGAAGCTCGTTGAGTTGAACATTGGAGATGCGTGTTACATTCTAAAAGTAAACAATGAAGCCCCCCCCCCCCCCCCCCCCCCCGGTTCAACTTCAAACCATATAATTATCTGAGCATGTTTCAAAGGCAAGAAAGCACAAGTGGCTAATTTTTCCATGCATTAACAGTCAAAATGTAATCATCATTGGTGAAGCTTACAAAAGAACTGCTTATAGCAGCTTCTGCAGCAAAAACATGGCTTTTGTAGCACATATTTCATTTAATTTATTTCACACTGCGAACTTAAGGACATGACGTCCCGAAACCAAGACCACACGCAACGAAAACAGCACAACCAAGCACCGGGGCAGGATACCACTAGCAGACAATAGTTGCTTGAACGACGGCAAGTTGAAGTATTCAAATAACGAACCTGCAGCAAAAAGATGTCCGAGCGTTCCTTCATGGCTGTGGTAGCGTGCCTCAAACGACTGGCGTTGGATAGCAGCTTCTGTAGAGGCATCGTAGCTGAAGACCAGTGCTGGCAGGCTCTTAATGCTCCCAACTTGAAATCCACCAAGATGGGTCCCAGGAACCACTGTTTTCCCGTGGTTGGCTCGAGAACAATCAATTTCGTGGCGTCCTGTAGTTCGTCCAGCATATGGACCCCGTCACTGCTGGCGATGCTCAGAAGTATAATCTGCAGCAAAAAGATGCTTGAATGCTTCATCACGGCTGTGATAGCGTGTCCCCCACATTTGAGCTTTTGGAGCAGAAATTACGGTTTATCACATTGTAAAAAGCGATGCAAGAACTATAGCAATTCCCGCAGTTCCTCACAGTGTCATAAAAACTATCATAACTGCAATTATGACACACAATTATTCACAGCAAAAAGAATGCTGTTGGAAATGGGGATAGAAAGCAAAAACACAGAACTTTGGCAATGACCTCATTGCCTTTAAAGCTTCATGCAATAACTAAATCAGTCCCACCTTCGACAACTGCAAAGCAACAAAACTATTTAAACATAGCGAATAAACCACACGTCAGAACAAGCATTTTTCCCTAAAATGAAAATAATGGGAGGAATATTCATTCATACGAGTGCTTCTCAAGTAATCGGTGCCACCGAAACTATGATTGACACCGCTCTTCCCCCCACGCAAGGTATCAATAATCGTTCCAGCCAAGGAGAAGCTACTACAAAAGGGAAACTAAGGGTTGGACACACTTCTCGGAAAGTGGCCACTTTTTGCTTGAGCATATATTTTAATAGTCGCTTTTACGTAGGCAAATATAAGCGAGTAACATGTGTGAATTTTTACGGAAGCGCAGTGCCGCAAGAGAAAGGCACAACTCGTCGAAAGCAAGTTTCGACGGTCTTGCGGCATGATCAAAGCTTCCCTGGCATGCCGAAGCGCTGAGTCTCTGTGTCTTCGCACGCTAGGATGCCGATCAAGAATTGGTGCCGCGAAAATGTTTTGAAGGTGTGTCGTGCACAGATGTCTTTGCATCTTATATCGGCTAAAGAGTTCTGGAGCATCCAGATGCTCAGGCGAGTTGCTATTAATAAAGGGGGGAAAGCAATCTGTACAGTTGCTCTTATGCACTATTAACCATGGCCGTGTTCCAAATCTACTCTAATAGATCACATAGCAGCACAAATAGAGCAACGCTGTAGAGCAAGGAGGGTTTTCGAAGGCAAAAGTACAAGACGGCGAGAATGGAGATCTTTGAAGCGCGGCCCATATGGTCGTGTGCAGCCTGCTGACCAATCACAATTAGGCGAGCCGTGCTCAAACGTCAAGTGAAATTAAGTAGGCTGATAATGAGACACCGCTGATCACTGATGAGGAGCTGTTGTGCGCGGTATTCTCTGAACCGTCTAGCAAAAAAAAAAAAAAAAAGTACTTTCCCCCCTCTTCCGTCGCCACTTAGTTACAAATACAGTCGTCAGAGTAAAGTAAACCGCTGCTCCAGAGGCACATACGGCTACAGGCACATTGCACTCGCAAAACACATTCACACGGTGTCGATTCTTGACCGGCATCCAAGCGTGCGAATGCATAGAGACGCAGCGCTTCGGGGTGCCAAGGAAGCTTTGAACATGCCGCGAGACCGGCGAAACTTGTTTTCGACGAGTTGTGCCTTTTTTCTGCTGCACTGCGCTTCCGTAAACATTGTCACGTGTTTTCATCCGCAAGTCTCACGTCTTACATAGTTTTAAAGAACTTCTTCGGTGAATGACGACGAACCAGTAGAAACCGTGTCTTCAGCACGCTGCCACCAGCCTCCGCAACGCTCCAAAAGCGCGCTTTCTCAACATGCAAGATTGCCGTCCGGTGGCCGCACTCGGGCTGCAGCGATCAAGCGGGGGTACGCGATCCAGCAATTGTCCTAGACATCAGTGTATAAACTAGAGAAAACACGACATGCTCTTAAATTCAGTACGCGACAGCGCTCATTATGATTATTCAATGAGCGCGCTTCAGTCTTTCATGTTAAAATCTGATTTCTCCGGTTCTTGCCGCGCCCGAAAGCGAAAGGGTGACGGCGCCCGAAAGCAAAAGGTACTGTTGCGACCGAGGAGTTCCCCAGGCAGCCTCAGGCAGGGCCAGGCGAGGACAGGAACCGCAGGCCGACTCCAGGCAGGGACATCAGGAGACGGGAGGGTGTCTCGCGATAAACTCTGTTTATACTACATATGTACAGAAGTTTCTTGTTCGTCGGAGAGCACACTCGCGGCCTCTCGTTTGCTCTTTTTATTCAGTCGCTGTTGATGTTCCAGCGGTTGGCAGCCAATGGTGGCCGAACTGCCAACGGACGTCACGTTCAGGCCCCGCCCCCACTCATCCTCTCGAGCGCGCACACACATACACGCACACACTGCAGCGTCGGACGGGCTTCCCAATCCGGCGCAGGTGCATTCTTGACCTCGATAAGCCGCGCCAGGAGTTTGTGACGAAGGGTCCGCTGTCAGCTCGTCAGACGCTGACCGTGATGGAGATGATCCCCTCATTATGCGGCGTCGTGGCTCGGGAAAGGTTTAGCGGGATAATCCGCAAGTGGCGCCGGACGAAAACTTGAGCCGAACGTACTCGGCCGGAAGTCCCGCCGCCGGCGTCGTCCCCCGGAATCCTCTCCCGGTAGGGCAGCTGGTTCCTGGATGGACTGACCCCCGCAGCCAGAGAGAAGAGTCCGGCTCAGCTCCGCTCCCAGGTGTGGCGGCGTCCACGCCGCGCCGGGCGACGTGTTCTGTCAACAACGGCTCAGACGGCCGGTCGCCGATCCTAAATGCGAAGGCCAAACCCCGCCGGGTGGAAAAGAAGGGGAGGCGAAGGAAAGACGTGACCTTCGCCAAGGCCTATCGCAACAACACCTCCGCCGCCACTGAGCTCATCAGGAGGGCAGCAGTCCCACACTGCTGCGCTGACTCGATGAGTGCCTCGCTTTCTTGGGAGAGGGTCCGGTGATCATCTCCTGCCTTGAGACGTAGGCGAGGGTCGGGTCCAAATCTCTGGAGTGGGGGACCTCAACTCAGGTCACAAGAGGAAGGCGTGGGCGAGACAAACATAGCAAGTCATGATCCCAGTAGCGACAAGTGCTTCGCTTTCCTCCCCCGATCCGCCAGACCAAAAAAATAAATGAAGACAACCCCTTTCCACCTACTACCTAAAATCTCCCTCACTCGACACTCGAGGTCAGGCTGTCACTAAGCCCTTTAAAGTAAACCATACCCTAAACCAGGCAAACAGAAACAAAAGTTATGGTAGCGTGCTCTGACATAAAAACACAATCACAAAATGAAGATGACCCTTTCCAAGGATTTGAAACAAACAAAAAAAACTTTACAAATTTGTACAATCCGATCATGGAGCTCGTTCACGTCTTAGAAGCCCCGGCCTAGATAATCAGCGTTCCTCTTTTAGCTGTGCCCCTTTTTACCTCGCCTCGAAGGCTTACTACCGTGAAGCGAGATAAACTTTAGAGCTTGCCAACACATCGCACTGCGGCTCAACAAAACGCGAAAACGGACTCCCGTGAAAAGAACACATTACGTACCGTTACGTAACTTACATAGGACATATCCCTATTAAATTCAAGCGCCTCCTCCATAAGGCAAACTATACCGACGATAAAACCGCTTTAAAAGAACTCTATCGCCGACACAACGAACTGAAGCCGAACAACACGCAAAACTCAGACTCCCGAAAAAGGAAAAGCTATTCATACCGCTTGCTAAGCCGACTTCAGGAAAAGACATCCAAATTAAGCTTTCCCCTTTTCTGGCGGCCTCTGCCTCGTCCGCTTTCACTGGCGAGAACTTGCGCTCTAACCTACGCCCAGTCTGTTCTCGGTGCCACTCTCACCAGAAAAGCCCTGGTCCCCAGACTCGAAAGTTTCCTCAAAGCCACAGTCGGAAAGTTCTGACTTGATTTCCGCATCTGACTTAAACTCCCGCTGAAGAACAAGCTGCGAGGCGAGCACGTACTCATAGGACCCGAGGTACTTGGACGAGATTGAGGATTTGTCCAGCAAGGTTCCTGCATTCTGTTGATCATCTCTTCTCGTCGTGGAAGCATGAGACAAATGTGACGGCTTGACTCTCGGCTTCCTTACGCTGCGTGACTCCTCGCAGCCCTCGTTCTTCTCGTCCGAGCGGCTCTGTCTCGTCATTTCCGCATCTAGTGTAGATTTGCTGGTGTCGCCACCAGGCCCGTTGCTCGCACTTCCGGTCTGGGTCGATGGCTCCTTGGGATAGGTGTCCTGGCGTTTGCTTTCTCCCGGCCTCGAAGAGAACTTTCTGGAGTTGCGCGCACTGAGCCTCTTAAAGCGCCGCTGCTTCGAACCTTTTTGCTTTTTCAGCTTCGGCTTCCTAGCGTCACCGCTGTGCTCCTTGCTCCTCCAGCCGCTGTCGGCTGGTGCTTTCTTGGGGTGGATATCTTCACGATTGATATCTTCACGATTTCCGTCTCCCAGCCCAGACGACGGCTTTCTCTTTCTGGAGTTGCTCCTCTTCAGCTTCTGGTGACGTTGTTGATTGGATGGGGCCGGGCCGGATTGGAAGGCACCGACCCTGCGCAGCCTTCTCTTCTTGGGTCTCTTTTGAGTGAACGGCCCGCTCATGTCGGCGCCTGAATTGTCGCCATCAGACTTGCCGTGCCATGATCGTGATGACCTCTCGGACCGCCTGCGCTTCGGATCTTCTCGCTTGCCCAGACTTAAGTCTTCCTTGTCGCAGTCAAGCCCCTTGCTTTCGCAGCCGCTGTCCGTCAATACTTCCTTGGGATGAATATGCGCGGGATTTCTGTGTCCCAGTCTCGACGACAGCTCCCTTTTGCGAGACTCGCCTTCGCCAGATTTCCAAAAATGCCCTTCATCAGAAATGTCCGCACCAGGACGGAGAACGCTGATCTCGCGCTGCCTCCTCCTCCTATGTCTTTTCCGTCTGGACGGACACCCAATGTCGTTCTGCGATGGAGACGAGGTTTTCGAGGGACCCTGCTCCGGATTTTTCTCATCCAGCCTGGTTTTCTCCGCGCTCCCCTTGGATCCTTTTCTCTTGCAGCCGCCGCCGGCTGATGGATCCTTGGGATGGGTGCCTCCGCGCTTCCCCCTTCCCGGCCTGGACGACTTCTGCTTCTGGCTCGACGCGTCGCGCCTCTGTTGACGTTGCTGATCAGAATCGTTCGGAGCAGGACGGAAAGCGCTGACCCTGCGCTGCTTCCTCTTCTGTTCCTTCTTTCCAAAAGGACGGCTCGAACAGGACGCTTTTTCCGAGCACCCCTGACTCTGGTCTCGCTCGTCCAGCCCTGGCTTGGTCTCAGAGTTCCACGGGGGACGGCCAGGACGACCCGCTTCCTGCTCCGCCTCCCCATCCGCTGACTTCTCCACGTTGCTTTCCTCGAGTTGGATAGACTTCCGCGGCGGCATCACCATGCTGGCCTTGTCTTCGTCCCCCAGGAAGCAGACGTCAGATGCTTGAGAGGCCTCTTCTCTTCTTTTGGCGGGATCCCCTCCAACTTCCAGCGCTTCAGGTCTGGAGTCGGCGTTGTGCGGAACGGCGTCGGTAGTCCCGTCGGCACAAAGACCCTGGTCGTCGGTTAAATTGAACTCTTCCTCTTCAACCTTTTCTTTCTGACCCACCGTCTCTGCCGCTACCTGACGCGTTCTAGCTCCGCTTGGTGCAACCGCTCTTTCCCTCCTGGACACAAGGTCTTTTTCTCGTGGCTTCGGATCACCCTCGTACGTGAACCAGTGAGGAAATGTCGCTGCTAGGTACTTCGAGTCTGTGACCTCTACTACTACCGTTCTTCTTTGAGACCGAACTTCCTGCATCAACGTTTCAATCTCGAGCCTTTTCTCCGCCAATTCACGAGCCCGCTTCTCGCGTTCGCGTTCGCGCTTTTCGTCCCGCTCCTGCTTTTCAGCCTTCGCTCTTTCGTCCCGCTCCTGCTTTTCAGCCTTCGCTCTTTCGACCCGCTCCCGCTTTTCAGCCTCCGCTCTTTCGTCCCGCTCCCGAATCAGCTCCCAAGCCTCCTGAAGCTCTACGTCGGACACTTCCTTTTCGCGAAGTAGCTCCATGATCGGCTTTCTTCGCCTTGCCTGCCCCACGCTTATGCCAAGCTCCTCGCATACCGCCACCAAATCAGGAATGCGTAGCTCACTGACTTCCATGATCCCGAGTGTCGCAATCTCCCTCCCCTATCTAACTCAGACAGCTTGAACTTCGCTTTTTCTGAGCCGAAAGGGCAGCCTTCAACTCGCGTACCTAACACTGAGCAAAAGGTCTGGCAAATCAAGGGAAAATTGCAAAGCACTCACCCGTACCAGGAACCATGAGCAGGCACGTCATCCCGCCGCTGCCAACCAGTTGTTGCGACCGAGGAGTTGCGAGTTGTTGCGACCGAGGACCGAGGAGAGGCGACCGAGGAGCCCTGCCTGAGGCTGCCCCAGGCAGCCTCAGGCAGGGCCAGGCGAGGACAGGAACCGCAGGCCGACTCCAGGCAGGGACATCAGGAGACGGGAGGGTGTCTCGCGATAAACTCTGTTTATACTACATATGTACAGAAGTTTCTTGTTCGTCGGAGAGCACACTCGCGGCCTCTCGTTTGCTCTTTTTATTCAGTCGCTGTTGATGTTCCAGCGGTTGGCAGCCAATGGTGGCCGAACTGCCAACGGACGTCATGTTCAGGCCCCGCCCCCACTCATCCTCACGAGCGCGCACACACATACACGCACACACTGCAGCGTCGGACGGGCTTCCCAATCCGGCGCAGGTGCATTCTTGACCTCGATAAGCCGCGCCAGGAGTTTGTGACGAAGGGTCCGCTGTCAGCTCGTCAGACGCTGACCGTGATGGAGATGATCCCCTCATTATGCGGCGTCGTGGCTCGGGAAAGGTTTAGCGGGATAATCCGCAAGTGGCGCCGGACGAAAACTTGAGCCGAACGTACTCGGCCGGAAGTCCCGCCGCCGGCGTCGTCCCCCGGAATCCTCTCCCGGTAGGGCAGCTGGTTCCTGGATGGACTGACCCCCGCAGCCAGAGAGAAGAGTCCGGCTCAGCTCCGCTCCCAGGTGTGGCGGCGTCCACGCCGCGCCGGGCGACGTGTTCTGTCAACAACGGCTCAGACGGCCGGTCGCCGATCCTAAATGCGAAGGCCAAACCCCGCCGGGTGGAAAAGAAGGGGAGGCGAAGGAAAGACGTGACCTTCGCCAAGGCCTATCGCAACAGTACGAACAGAAGGAGTTCGGGAAAGCCCACTCAGCCCAGAGCAAACCAAACAGTCATGGCGATGAGCCCTGCGCCTCCACACGTCCATCAAGTCGAGTCTGATGCGTGGATAGGTTTCCCTCGCGCAACTGAGTCCGGAAGCTAAAGCAAAAAATATGGCGCGTCTTCTGACTCAGCCCGCGCCATTGCGTTAAGTAACGCGTCTTTGATTCCTTCTGCACTTCGGTTATCTCGCAAGGCGCATGCGAAAATGAGCTGGCTTACCTTCTTAGTCCGGTTGAATGGTGAAAGATGATCGCGGCGACGACGAAGAGTGTTGCCGCCCTTCCCGCCCGTGGTGGTTCACGCGCGAGCGGGCATACAGACCGAGAAGTAAACATCACGTGATGGACGGCGCTCCTTGCTCGGTTGTCGTCGTCCGCGAGCTGAGTGCGCCGGCTTTTGGGTGGGTCTCCCTCCGCCGTTCGAAAGAGATTTTAGCATTGGCACGAATGGCACGTAACATGAGACATCTGCCAACAAGAAAACTATCTCTAGAGCAAACGTGGCATGTGTTATGTGTTTTTACTTCAAAGAAAAGGGAACACAGACCTGAACTAAGAAATATGTAAAGCCGTACATTTACGGACTCGAGCCGTCATGTCGCCTCTACGGCGTTTTGTCCGTGCGCGCCTCTCACGGCGCTTTCCAGTTTTGAAAAAGGCTGTTAACTTACGGTTTTTTTTACAGTGTATAATGTACTCATAGTTATGCGGAACGCTTTCACAGAATTATCGCATTTCCTTCGGATTGCTTTAGAAGAGGATCACGGAAAGGCGCAGTTGAAAGAAAGAGCTCGTTCTTGAAGCGCCGGCGCTCTTACGATTCAATCTCACGAGGCTGGGCCACTCTGCAGAGACATAGGCCACAAACCGCACCGATCAATATTTTCTCTTATCAGCGGCCGGCAAGGAAGCACCGCTGGGTATTCATGCGCGATTTACTGCTACAAGACTTACGTTAATCTGAGTGAGCACATAATTGGGGCAGCGTCAAACAGGTTTCAGAGTCGTATAGATATATAAATATAAATATAAGCGTGCTTCTTAACAGTGAACGTTTTTTAGCTAGAGTCACAGAGAGCCTAAAAAACACTGATCGCAGCTTTTTAAGACGACGCTTCTTGCTTCGTGATCGGCTTTTGAGCGTTTTTATCGGTTAATGCCACATTCGTGCCACATTCGATGCTCATGAATCGTCCTTCATTTTTTAAGCTGTCTGTGACAATATTATAGAGGGTGTTTTCCATTAAACTTTACAGACTTGTTAAAAAAAAAAAAAAAAAAAAAAAAAAAAACGTGGAAGATACGTTTATGCGGTTCGTGCATGGTAACTTATACGGCCAGAGGGGCATAATACGGGGGTCTAATTGTCACGATAAGTAGAATAATTACCTGAAATATGTTAATACACTTTTTCAATTAATGGTTCCATCTATAAACGTGCTAAACGCCACCGAAGACCACTAACGCGGATGGTAGGAGACTAAAAAAACGCGCGGGTGCGTTATCTAACCGGTAGCCTTCGACACGCTGCATGAGTAGTAACTTCAGCGCTATACTATGCTACCCGCGTGCTCCGAGTATCTCTAATATTGACTGATTTCGTGGTTTTCGATGGCGCTGAGCAAATTTTTATGAACGAACCATATGTTTATGTTCAATAATCAAAAATTTAATTACCATATTTTATCTTAGTCAACAGAACAGCGCGCAAGAATACAAGGGTAGAAAAAAGGAATATCAACGACACACAAGCGCTGACTCGCCAATGAATTTATACACAAAGGGAAGAAGAGAACGTGCGGAAAGTCACGCAGTACCAGAGCGCGTCGCACACGACACAACATCATCTAAGCTGTTTTTGCCCCATAGTCCGATCTAAAAATGAGGTTTCGGTTTCAGGAAATGCACCGGTTTCCCAAGCCATTAATGCAATGCGCTTCCGACATTTCGCGACCTGCCCGCGCTTACCGTACTTCTACAGTAACATATTTTAGTTAACTAGCCGACAAGCCATTACGACTAAACCCCTGTACTATGTCCCTCTGGCCGTATAACTTACCTGCACAGACCGCATTTCGAGATGTTTTTCAAGACAAATATATTAAGCTTCAAAATAAACACCCCGTATATACGAGGGCGTAAAGGTAAAGTTCCTTGTTTTCAGTAAATGGCAGTAAACACCAAAAATTAACCTCCAAGCAGGTTTGATGAAAAACGGGGAATCCCGAAAACCTCGAATGGTGGCTGCCCTTACTGGGCTACAGTATTGTTTTCTGCTGACCTGAAACGCGATTAGCACTGAACTATCCGCGAGGCAGCCTCTTTCTTCGGGACCTGCACCCCTTGTCTCGATTTCGTCTCTTGAAGACAAAGGGGCGATTCCAAGTACCGGATTTAAGGAATACAGTCCGCACCCGGTGCGTAGCCCGTACCAGGCCCTTAGTCGACGAGAAAATATCATGCACAGCACACCTTGACAAACTTTATTAGCTCACAAAGAAGCTTGCATCATACATGAATCATCATCAACATACTCTTTCATTGACGAATTTCGTCATAATGAACGATCGTATAAAGAAACTCCCTGTATAGTCCGCACCTGCAAGTAGTCCCCGTAACATTTCAGCTTTGAAACATGTATAATCCGAGGACCGGAAAATACGGTATACAGGCCACGCCAATGTTCAATATAGGTTAAGAAATTCTACGCCGGTGTCATGCTTCCTTTTAGCATGCCTCGATAAACGCCGATTTTTTGTTCGGCACAAAATATTTACACCGAAGAGCTCCGAATCTTTGGGTTAAGGACTGTTACCTCCGCCTAATTCGCGTGGCAAACAAAGCCAGATGTAACACAGAATGTGGTCTGGTAGTCCAGAGAAACTTGGTACACATGTGGAGGCTGGACGGCGGAAATGATATCCTAATCAGTTTTTCCGAAATCGCTGCACGCGGCTTCGCTGCGGTCTGTGACGTGCCCGCTATATTTCCATCCGCCCAAGGCGGCACCTGCTTGGCTGAGGGGTGGGCGATTGTTGCCTGTCTCTTGGCGGTTTGATGCAGAGTGTGAAGGGCCGGCAGGGGTAGAGGGTCGGGGACTATCGTGAGCACGGCCATACGCAGCGCTTGAAGAGGAATCCTCTGCCACTATGAGATTCCAGCGTTTCCTGTAGAGCCTCGCTCGCTCATTTGAGGACTTGCAAGAGCATCCCTCGAGAGCACCGTACCAACCGCTGACCTCGCGGCCTTCTGACGTGCTTGGTAAGAGCGTGAGCTCTCCGTGGATGTCTTATTTGTGGGTGCATGTCAGAGTCCAAAGGGCTCTCAAAGCCCGTTGACTGAGATGCAGTAGACTGAGCGTGTGGAAAGCAAGAACAATGCAAACGCGACAGCGCCGCAGTGTGCCATATTGGTTGTAGACTGCTTGCAACTGCGTGGTCAGGATCGCGTGGTTTATGTGCCGCGTTTCCATTACGAGCTGCAAGGAGGCGGCAAAAGTGATGATCGTCTGTAAGCGTCTCAGCCTCTCCGCCCGCTTTCTTCCTTGACCCATACCGGCT